GGTGAGTGTGATGGTGATGATTATGGCGATGATGATGATAATGATTATGCCGATGATGATGAACGATGATGGTGTTGACTGTGATGAAGACGATGATGACGATGATGATGCTGATGATGCTGATGATGATGATGATCCCACGTTTCCCCCTCGCTCCCTGCTGCCAGCACGGACGATGACCAAAATCCCCGAGCGCCATCTTTCAGTGCCCCTCTGGGTCGGCCATCTGGGGGCACGCTCCGCACAGGCGGCGAGACAGGCCACTGGGCGCGCGCCGCCGACAGCAGCGAGCGTCCCTCGAAAAAAAAAACACTCTGGGCCCAGCTCTCCAGTGTGAACCTGCAGACCAAGCGGGAGGTCTACGGGAGGCAGACGCAGTCGAAGCCAGTGGGAAGCTTGAGCAAAAGGATTACAAACACAAACGATGCTGCAACGGCGCGGCAGTACTCGGGTGAGGGGGCGATGGACACATGAGGTAAACTATGTAGTATCCCACGTTTCCCCCTCACTCCCTGCTGCCAGCACGGACGATGGCCAAGATCCCCGAGCGCCATCTTTCAGTGCCCCTCTGGGTCGGACATCTGGGGGCACGCTCCGCACAGGCGGCGAGGCAGGCCACTGGACGCGCGCCGCCGACAGCAAGGAGCGTCCCTCGAGGAAAAACATTATTTCTGGGCCCAGCTCTCCAAAACGAACGTCAGGTTCGCATGTCTAAACTGACTCCTGGCTGTCAAGCCGAGTCCAACACACAAGATAGGTCTTTCATTTTTCTGGCAACAAGGGCGTCGGCGAAAGCCTGGGCAAGACGGTTGCACAGCGGCCGGGGGTATGGCTCGGCGGCTGCAGCGACGAAAGTCCCGGCCTGCTTTCCGTGCAAAGTCACGTGTGGCTGATGAGTACGGGGGCATATACCACGACCTGAGCAGAGACGCCCTACGCAGCTCAAGTCAATATTATAGCCCCAGAGCTGCGCGCGCTTTCTCCAGCGCGTGCCGTCCTGGCAGTAGTCAGTGACGGCTGTCCGCAGCTCGGTTTGTGGGAGCCTCAGGAAACAGGGTTGCTGGAAAAGCCGACTTGTCCAAGGGTTCTCGAACACGACTGGTACATTCCTCCGCCGACACTCCGCCATCAACCGGGCGGCGAAGGCGGCCAGTGCGCTACCCACCTCCAGCTTCTGCTGGTCGTGCGGCTTCGGGTTTGGGAGCCCTGCTGGGAACTCGGCGGACCGCAAGGGCGTTGGCCCAGGCGGGCCAGACTCTCGAGCCCGCGAGAAAGTGTTGCAGGGCACGCCCAGCCAGATAGCCCGCACCAGGCCATGCTGGATGAGACCTCTGATGATCCGCTGGCCCTTGCGCACCGTGAGGTCGTGCGACAGGTGGTAGCGGAGGTCGATCTCGTAGATGGGTACGTTTGCCAGCCGAGGGTGCCTCCGCCAGCTGTGGGAGAAGCGGCCTGTGCCCGAGAAAATCTCCAGGGCTATGCCGCCGCGCCGGGCGGCAGCAGCGGTGGCGATCGCTTCAAGAGGAGGCGACCAAGTCTGGCCTCGCAGTCGGCGCCGTGCCTCCGCATGGCTGCGCTGAGGGAGGCCAGCACCTGGTTGACCCGGCCCCCCTTGGCGCACCTGCGGACCGACGCGTCGCTGCTCCAGCGCCCCCGCTGCTTCAGCCCGGCTGCGTCCCGGAACCCGGCGAGCGCCTCGTGCGACGCCCCCCCGTGCCTGAGTTGGTACAGCACGGGCGGGTACCCGAGGCGCAGCCGTCTGCCCACGTCGGCGAAGCTCTGGACCCAGTCGGCGTAGTTGAACCCGAACAAGTAGTCCCCCTTGGCCTCCCGCCTGAGGAGGTTAAGCACGTTCCCCAGCCAGGCAAACTCGGGGTTGTCGACAGCTATCTTGGCGTCCTGGTCTTCCTGGCTCTTGGCCTGAATCGCCATCTGACTCATCAAGGTACGCATGGCTGCGCAGAGCGTATCGATGTTGTTCTGACCAGGCCCCTGAGCATCCGTCCGTAGTTCCGGCGCTTGAATTTGCGAAGCTCGGCCATGTCCATGGGCGGCTCTTGGTAGTGCTGGGACGCGCGGATGGAGGCGAGCATATTGACCCTCGTGATGGGCACGGCCTGCTGCACGATGGCTTTGGCCGCCCTCGAGTTGTCCTTGCCTCGTGGCGCCTCGGACCTCGGTCTCGACTGGGACCTTGTGGGCTGGATCCTGCCGCCTACCTTCTCAAAGTGGGCGCCACCTGGATGCTGGTTCGCCATGTTCTCGTTCCTGTCGAAGGTCGTGCCGCAGAGGCAGCGCCAGAGATGGCTCTTGACGCTCCTGCCGCAGGGAATGCACTCCCAGGCGACTCCGGGTCCAGCCTCACGGGTTCCATGATGCCTGTGCGCCATCCCTGATGAATGGTGACGCCGCAGAAGCTGTGCCGCTGCGTGCAAGCGCAAGATGACCCGCGCGCGGGCCCGCTGGGCCCATTCACGGCGGTGCCAGCAGGGCTCCTTGGGAATGATGGGCGCAGTGCCGAAAGGATGTACAGAAAGCTCGGCACGCGCGTGGGGCTAGGCCTAGCTTGGTACGCAAAAATGCTGGAACGCTGCTTCCAGAAGCATGGACCAGGGCCAAACCCTCTCCTCCTCCTCCCCCTCCTCCTCCTCCTCCTCCTCCTCCTCTTCCTCCTCATCCTCCTCCTCTTCCTCCTCCCCCTCATCCTCATCCTCCTCATCCTCCTCCCCCTCCCCCTTCCCCTCCTCCTTCTCCTCCTCCTCCTTCTCCTCCTCCTCCTCCTTCTCCTCCCACTCACTCCTGCTCATTCCCCTCTTCCTCGACCAAATGATCCCCGAACGGTGTCCAAGCCAAGGGAACACACAGTTCAATAGCTTGGCCGAATTTTGGCCCAACGCTTGGCCACATGACAATTTCCAGAGAAGCAGGGGGCGGCGGCGGCGCCGACTCGCCGCAGGCGTCTCCGGCAAAAACATCCGTCCGCTCGCCCGCCTCGTTTCGCCACTTCGGCGACACGGGCCTGCCTCCAGGCTCTGGGACAGCGAAAATAATAATCATCCGCGCGATGCAGTCAAGGGCTCCAGGGCCCAAATCGATTAGGTGTGACGGGGGGGCGGGGGAGGGATAAAGGCAAAACAAAAAGAACAACACCAAAAGACAAAACAATGTCTATATCTTCATGTACACACACACACGCACACGCACTCAAATCACAAAAAAACGCGTCGAGGGTCTAGGCTCATCTCTGAAATAGCCTCCGGCCCCCCCTTCGGGCTCTTCGAACTCGCCGGGCCGCTCGCCTGGAAGATCTTCTCGCACGAGAGCGACGCGGCAAAGTCTGGGAACAGGTCAGGGTACCTCAGGACGAGCAAAAGACAGGGGAGGAGGACGAGCAGGAGGTAGCGGAGGAGGGGGACGAGGACGAGGACGAAGAGGAGCACGAGGAGGCGAGGAGCACAAGAAGGGAGAGGAGAGAAGGAGCAGGAGGTCAGAAACGACGACCGATCGAGGACATAAGCAGGAGGAGCAGTGCCTGAGGAGTAGAGGGACGAGGTGGAGGGCAGGGTGGGGAGGCTGACGAAGGGGTACCTGACAAGGAGAAGGAGCAGCAGCAACAGCAGCAGCAGATGGATGAAGAGCGGGGCGAGGACGAGGCGGAGGCACAGAAATAAGACAGGGAAAGGAAAAGCAGGAGCAGGAGGAGCACGAGGAGCGAAAGAACAGCGCCTGACAGACATGAGAAGGAGCCAAACGGAAACACGGAAGAAGTGCATGGAGGAACGAGCAGAAGGGTGGGAGGAAGAAGCTAAAAGGGAAAGGGTAACGAGGAGGAACGAGTGGAGTATAAGGGAAAGGGTGGGTGAGTGGAGTATAAGGAGAAACGAGGCAGAGGGTGGGAGGAAGGAGCCAAAAGGGAGCACCTGATGGGCAGGAGCAGTAGTAGGAGAATGGGAGGGAGGTAGAGAGATACATACGCACGTGGAGAGAAAGAACGAGGGACAGAGAAAGAGAGAGAGAGAGAAGGAGAGAAAAGCGTAGGAGTGTGAGTGGGAGTCAAGGGTCGAAAGAGTCAGCAGGCCCCGCCCATTTCCCACCCTCCCTCACATAACAGAAAAATCGTTGCCCCCTTGTGTGGCACAATTTTAGATTGGGACTAAAGAGCGTTGCCCCCTGGCGAACGGAACAGCCTCGCACGCGATCCCACTTCCGACGACCTGATGAAGAGACAGACGAGCGAGCCGCGCAGAGGTGGGAGAGGAACTTCCAGATTCCCTGCGCAACCATCACTCTTGCGGCCAATTCCTAAACACGAGACATGCGCCGCGCCGAAACAGCACTGCCACTTTCTCAAACAGTGTCGCCCACTCTCCCCTAGCCCCGCGGCTTTTTTTCTACTCGCAAACATCCACACGCATGTAGCTCGTGCGCGTGCCGTTCGCATCACGGGCCAAGTGCAAACAGAGCGCGAAGCAGAGTCAACGCTGCCAATGAAGATGCATTAAAGCGTCCTGACAAATAGAGCCCATGATACAGAGGCGGGGGCATCAAGGACAATGTCACGAATTACGGCCCGCAGATCGCATTATCTAGTACTGGGCATCCTGCCGAGCCAAAATATGTGCATGACTGGGCGGTTCGGGAGTTCCTTGGTTCTGCGTCGGAAGTCACAGGAGAGATCGATGCGCGATGCGATGCGGCGCGCGAAACATGCGCGACACCCCAGCGGGAACGCCACTTGCAAGCGCAGTGTGCACGGGGCTTGGGCAGAGGCGACAGATCGCCCGCTCGCGCGACGCCACAAGAGTTAGGGAGTGAGAACTCTGCGCCGCGCCGAGGCGGGAGCGCCACTTCCAGGCGCCATCTGCGCGGGTCTGGAGCGAAAACGGCATCTCGCCCACTCGTGCGTCGACGGATGACCGTGCGAAAGAGGAGCACCGAGCCCAAGCGGGGGCTCAATTCGCAGAGAAATGAGCGCTGCGCCGAGGCGAAAACGTTCTGTCGCCCGTTCGGTTCGGACGCGCGAGGCGCGCCCGTTCCCGTTTTGGCCAAGCATTTTGCAACGTCGACGCCAAAACGCCCATGCTGAAAGGAAAGACATCGACTGCATTGTTGTAGCAGGTAGGATGTGAGGTCCCCGATGTGACCCTTATCGATTGACTGGGTAACAAAGTAAGAGTATATACACATAGCGAAAAAGGAATGAGAGGAGAAGGAGGAGGAGGAGGAGGAGAAAAGGAGAAGGAGACAGAGGAGAAGGAGAAGAGCAAAGAGGAGGAGAGGGCGGATGAAGAAGGGGCAGGAAAAGATGGACGAGCAGAAGGAAGAAGGGGAAGCGAAAGGGCAAGTGCGGAGGTGGAGGATCACGAGGAAACTAAGGAGAATGAGGACGAATAGAAATAAGAAAAAGAAAAAAACCTGACTACCCCTCTTCGTCCTCGTTATATTATGACTCCCCTTTTTGTCTTCATCGATGACCGAGGCGCCAGGGGCATTCATCGGACAGAGGGAACATGGCCCATACAAAATACGGGTCGCCTCACTCAAACTCCCAACCTGGGGCCAAAGGAGACTCGGCGACTCGCCGACGTGCTTCTCGAAGCTGAGTTTCCAGCGCAAGACGGGCCTTTTCGAGAACCTCTTCGTTGAGACCGAACTTCGCGAGCAAAACATTCAGCTCGAGCCAGGGTCCCCAGATTCCAGCCACGGGGAGTCTCGGGCTCTGGTGGCAAGCGGGCGCGTTTGAGCGCCAGCAAATCAACAACTGCCAGCGGGGACGGGGGCAGCCACTTCCCAACCGTCCAGCGCCTGCACTGGGCGGACCCGCAGGGGAACTTCATCTCGAACGCCCGCATTTTCTGACGACCAAGTGCGATCGCGGGCGGTACCCCTCGCAGGGACGCGCCGAGGACGAGGTGCCACCCCAGGCGCACCCCCCACAACAAAAACATGCAAACACTGCCTGGCTTTTGTCGGGCCTGGGCGGGAGCCCCGAAGCCATGCACCAGCGCATGGCTTTACCAGGCTTGATATATGTTGAGCTCTTCCGTCTCAGCTTCAGTGAGAGGCCTGCTCTGCCGCCGTGATCGGCTGGCTCGCGGCCTTCCGGCACTGGCGCCGCCCGAACTCCCCCCCTGCGCGGCCACGCCACCGCCGCCGCCCCCTCCCCTCTTGCGGAGGATGTGGGAGAGAGTCGAGGGCCTCGCGCTGGGCCACTATGGCCTCCTGCCTGCTGCGCGGCGGCCCATTAGGCCACCGCCTTGACCAGTTGGCCAATGGTCTAGAGCTGGCTCTGAGGAAGTGAAGTGTTTGGGTGCAACGCGGCGCCAAGGCCAGCATAATGGTCGGCGGCTCTGTTGCCCCACCACTCACAGGAAAAGCTCTTATACCTGCTGGCACTGCTTCGAGAAAAAGGTGGGCCCTTCACCTCGATTGCCCTGCATCCTGGGAGTTGCCTGTGGAACTTCTCCCAGACGTGGCATCAGGGGCCGTTGGCTTTACATCCCAGCAATGGTTCATTGATACAACGCCCAGAGCCCTGGCAATCCGCGCAGTGGGCCGCCGGGCCCTGCACGCGCCCCCTGGCGGCCATCAGCAGCACAACATCCCCACCGTCTTTGGCCACCTGGAAGGTGAGTAAATCCCGGGGGGGGGCCAGACGAAGCAGCAACAAATCGCTTGGCCAGGGGGCACGTCGGAGAAAGGGCGGAGTCGTCCGCGAATACCTCCCCAGAGAGAAACAACCCCACAGGCCGAAGGGCCCAGACCACTTCGACCTCCGAGGCCGAAGGGGGCGATGCACAAACTCAAGGGGGAAGAGGACAAGGCCCGAGACCGCCTTCTCAAGGCAGTGGCCTGTTCGTTGCATAACTGGGACCGACGTTTTTTTGCTCATCCGAGCCCCTGTCCAGAGACATCGCTGAACAACATGCCTCCACAACTGGCGCCAAAACGCGGACGCCGCCACGCGCCGAAAAATAAGTTAAAAGGCGTCGGAAAGAGGCAATCACGGCGCGGCGCGAGCGAGAAAACGCTTGCCTTTGAAAGACGTCTTCTTCCTCGCCAAACGTCCAACGCGGGATCCTCACTCTCTTTCTCTCTCTCTCTCTCTCTCTCTCTCTCTCTCTCCTCTCTCTCTCTTTCTCTCTCTCTCTCTCTCTCTCTCTCTCTCTATCACTCCTTATTTCTCTCTCTCTCTCTCTCTCTCTCTTTCTCTATTTCTCTCTCTCTCTCTCTCTCTCTCTCTCTCTCTATATATATACATATATATATCGATCTCTATATCTCTATATGTTTATTTCTCTCTCTCTCTCTCTCTCGCTCTCTCTCTCTCTCTCTTTTCTCTCTCTCTCTCTCTCTCTCTCTCTCTCTCTCTCTCTCCTGCCAAATAGGAACATCGAAACCTGCGGCGCCACAGTGAAACTACAGCGTCCTGGCAAAGCTGGCAATGATGCGTTTGGGACTTGCCGCGCCCATGTTGTTTTGCCTGGCATCACTGCTGCTGGGCAATTACATGCAGCAAACTCCTTGTGGCGCTCGGTCCAGCCGTCTGTGGCTTTGGCCTCCAGGAGCTGGGCCAGGGGCCGCCAAAAAACATGTCGGATCCAACTTGGAACCTCGCCCATCCCACCTAGCGCCACGACATCCGGCAAGATCTTGGCCGCACATGCGGCCATCCACTGGAACTGCTTAGGCTCAAGCTTGTGAAGGTCGACCGACTCCCACGCATCGATTACTAACGCAGCAACCGAGCAGGCCGACCAACCAAGCAGCTGCAACGGAAGAACGCAAACGCGGGCTGGACTCGAGGCGACGGCCCACGGCCCATTGGCCTGGCAGAGGTCAGCAGCTGCCGCGCCCAATGCGGTTCGCAGGATACGGAGGGGAGGCCCGCCAAGCCAAACCGCCCGAGCCCAGAGCCCGACAACCTGACTATGACAGAATGTCCGCGGGTTCATGGCCCCTCCTACTCGGGCGGCGGCAAGCATCAGTCCCGCCACGGTGCCTCATTGCTCTCGTGGACGCCGTCGAGGGCGGCCCCTCGCAGAGGGTGGAACAGTCGCCCTGAAAGACCTACAACGGCAGCCCCCCAGAGGGCCGTCACCTGAGGCCCAGCTCTACATGCTTCGACCCTGGCGCCGCGCGTGTCATATTGAATAGATGCCATGACCTCTCGAGGCCTTCCCCGATCCGCTCGGGCGACGCGGCCGACGCCCGCCCCCCGCTCGGGCGAACGCCCGCGCCGAGGGGCGTCGCAGAGAAGGTGCGCGAGAAGCTGGTTGCGCAACATACTGGGGAAGTCCTCGGCTAACTCAGTCGACGGCACGATGAATTCGGCATTCTTCTCAGACGGGATGAGCTCCAGCTTCTCGTAGCCGGCGGCCGAAGCATTGCCTGCCTCGACCCACTGCCGAGCAACTAACTTCCGAGCACCGATGCACTTGGCACCCACATCATCAACCACGTTCCTGAACAGGACAGCATGGAATCGGTCGGCCAGGGAGACTAAGAGATTGCACACGAGAACCTCCGCAATGGAAACGACCAAGGAGCACCCTGCCAAGACCACCACATTGACCAAAAACACTACGGATATCGCACCATGAAACGCAACGGCCATGGGCCCCGAATACAGCTGGCATACCATATGTAAAAGCCGAATAAGGAAGCCACTGCTTTCCCCTGCCCACAAACCAGAAAAGTGGCAGTGGGAAATGCGTTCGTTCAATTTCGAGAGATCTGAAAACAACGCCCCACTGTCATAGCGCGTTACCTGGGCGAGCTGGTCATGCATGCCACGCCCCCAGCCAGCGGCATCACATTCATGGTCGGCAGTGCCCCGGAGTTTGCCCAGCATTACGTTCCTGCCCCCGCTGCCTGCTGAGATCCTGACAGAGCCCAGCCCACACCCTGCATACTGCGATGACGAGGGCGAGTGGGCTGAGGCCCTGACTCTCCGGCTTGCCAGCACACGCCGCCATGCTAGGCAGGCGCGGCGGCTGAAATCTTCGCTCGACAAAAGCCAGGAACTTGGATTGGCGCAGTCAGCGCCGAGACCAACCGCGCGACGAAATCCGGACAAGGCCCCATCCAACTGTTCTGGCACGGGTCCTATTAGCGCAGCCCCCCCGCGCCTCCGCTTCCTGAACCTCGGACAACCGTGACTTAGCATCCTGCCGGCAATTTCTCCAGTCGCACGCAAGATGGCCCACTTCCTCGTCGCCTAGCTTGGGAAGACCTTGATCATCCGAGGGGGTTCGAGCTGCTCGCGGCCCCTGATTCACACGCGGGCCAAGCGCCACCTAGGACGAGCCGAGTCCTGAGCCCAGGATTGCAACTTCTTCCAGCGCTTCCCAGATTTTCTGACGATAACCGCGCCAGCAGCACCAGACACCCCAAGGACTTGCCGCGCAGACTCATTCCCTCCAAACTGGGCGGCCCCCAGCATAAACTCGAAATCGAACCCACGTTTATCAAGCGCTGGATCCAGGAGGCCCCGATCTACATCATGGAGGCGACCTACTGCGTCGCCCAGCCACTCAACTCCAGAGCCCCCAGGACTGCCCCAATACGCCTTCGCCCGCCCCACCAGACCGACCAACGACTTCCAAGCCCACAAGGCATGGGGCACTGTTGGCATGCCACTTCTGGCGGGGCATCTGGTGGAGCTGCACTGGCACTCCCCAGATACCATCAGCCCGACCACAGCGCCGATCCCTCTGCTGATCAATAAGATCAAATCGAACACACAGGTTGGCCTCGAGCCATTCCTTCCGAACACGTTCGGAACCCAGGGTGTCATGAAGACCTCCAGCACTCCAGGGCCACTCTGACTCGGGGAGCCCACGCCCACGGCCAACAGGCCGACCGGTCGGGAAGGGGGCCCAAGTCTTGCGGACACGCACAGCATGGTCAAGGGGGAGCCCCTGGAGTCCCAGAGGAAAAAAAAATGGCCACCAGGGAGCCCCATAGAGCCCTGCGACTGACCTGACAGTCGAGGTCAACACTTCAGAAACAATGCAGAAGCCCAGAGTCTGCCGGCGGCGAATCGGGCCTGTCGGCGCCACCACAGCTGCCCCCAGCAGTCACGCCACTTGAGCAGTCCTCCCGGGAGTCGCACATGGGCCCGGGCAGCCCCAAGACTTTCCAAGGACTTGCCCAGCTGAGACAACAGCTGAACATGGTGGCGCCCGCAACCAGCCCGGGCGCACCCATAAACTGAAACCCAACGGACGTCAGCAGGGTCGACCACTTCTGCAAACTGCACCGCCACGCGCCCAAGAGCCACGGGCCCGAGCTCCCGCAGCGCGCCGTCTACAGGCCGAGCCTGCACATGCTTCCTGGCGCCTGCCGGGGCCCCTGCCGACGTCGCAGGGACGCGCTCGCCAGTCGCATCGGCAAGGACAACGCGCACGTCGAGGCGCCTAAGAGCCATCCAATTCTGAGCCCCAGAGAGAGGCACGTCAGACTCCAGGACCAGTCGAACCTCTCGCCCAGCATCGAAGTCTGGAAATTCAGCCCCAAGAGCACACTGCCACTCCCAAGAGTCCTGAAAACTGCTCAGAGTATGCTCTCGAACACCAGAACCTCCAAACCTGCTAACTCCTTGCGTTCCTGGGACGCGCCCCTCGGCCCTTGCCCCTGGCCCCTGGCCCCGACGCGTCGGTCCGCCCCGCGCCTGCCACAATGGACGCGCCACTGGTAGAGCAGCTGGCCGGACATGGCGCCCAGGAGTCGGCGGGGGCCGAGGCACGCGGCCGCGGTCGCCGACGCGGCAGCGGGGGCCCACGACGTCGCAGTGGTGGATGCGGTCGCAGTCGCCACAGTCGCGGTGGCGCGACCTCTCTGCAGGCCCACGGCGCGCCTCAAGCGGAAGGGCCCGACGCGCGGAGGTGGCACCGTCCGCCGCGCGCCGCCAATCCTGCGGCGCAGGTCGCGCAACTCCGCGCCGCGCATCGCCGCGGCCGCGCACCGCCACGACTGGCTGAGGGAGGCGAGCCAAGCCAGGAATCCCCCGCGGCGCGGGTCTCCTCGCCGCCACCCCCGCGCGCAGATCTCCGCCGCCAACTGCGCCGGCGCGTGGCCCAGCGCCCCCAGCGCGCCCTGCCACTGGGCCCTCGAGAACTCCCGCGTCAAGTAGTTCCCGCAGAAGTCGCGCCAGTCACCGAGGCCATCCTCCGCGACGCCATCTCGCGGGTCGCGGACCCCGCGCGCGGCCCGAGAGCGGACCTGGCGCCCGACGCTCCTCAGGCCCCCCCTGTCGGGAGCCCCCGCCCTCCATTAGTGGCCACCCTTGACGGCGCCGCGGGGCTCCGAGAGGAGCTCGTGATCATCGATGCCCAGGTAGTACTGTGAGTTGCCGTACCCGCCTAGCACCTGGCCCTCATTCTCAGCCGAAGTCGAACTGCTGGCAGAAGCTGCAAACCCCTCGTCAGCGGCGCCAAAACCTCCTGCCAAGCACACCTGCAACTGGACATCGCTGCCGGGGCCAGCACGCCCCCTCCGCTCGTTACCCCCGCGACGGGGGGGCAGCAGCAGCAGCACCGCGGTGACCATCGGCAGCCCCGGCGGCCTTGCCCTCCAGCTTGTCGCTGGCATCCTGGATGCGCGGCCGCCACTGGCGGCGCCCGCTCCTGCTGCGGCTGCTGCGGGCGGCGCCGACGAAGCCCGCTCCGTGGGCTCGCCTCCGCCCACAGGCACTGCGGCTGCCTGGCACTGGTCATCCGCGGCCCGAGCTGGCCCTGCAGCCCCTCCAGGAGCGCCCCTGGCCATGCCACCTCCCGGGACAGCACCAGCCTGGCCCTCGACGTTGGGCCCCCGCGCCTTCGCCAGTCGCTGATCGAGGGCAAGCTGCTCCACCTTGAGCTCCTCAGCCGCCTTGCTCGGACCGAAGGCTTCGGCCGCGGCGCGGCGGTCGCGGTCCCGCAAGGCCTGCGCGCGCTGCTGCACCTCGAGGCGATCGCTCTCCATGATGTCGACGTCCTCGAGGTCCTCGATGCCGAAAGGTTGCCATCATCCACCTGGATGTTCCCCTCGAGGAGCTGCTCCAAGCCCAGGCGGGGCGTGGCAGCCTGCCCCTTGTCAGCCGCATCGCCAGGTCATGGAACCACCACAGCGTTGTGGAGCTTGCGGGCCGCCTCCTGGTAGCGCTTGCGGCAGGCATCCAGCTCGAGCTCGCAGCGGTCCACGTTGCCAGCTGGCTCCTCCACCAGGCGGGCGAGCCGCGCGCGGCGGGCGATGGCGCAGCGAAGGGCATTATCCGCCTCGCCCTGCTGCTGGCGCGCGCCCTCGATGGAGTCCTCCTCCGAGGCGGCCAGCTTGGCGCGAAGGTCGGCCAGCTTGGCCTCGTAGGCTGCCGCGCCAGCGGCATCGCCAGCCTCGCGGAGGAGCTCCACCAGCTTGGCCAGCC